GATGTGCAGGGCGGGGCTGTTGTTCTCGCGGACCCGCAGGGTGTAGGAGGTTTGGGTGAAGGCGGGGGCGTTGTCATTGACGTCGGAGACCAGCACCGTGATGTTGTGCTGAGTTTTCAGCCTGGGGGATCCCATGTCGGTGACGGTGATGGTGATGTTGTACTCGGCTCGTTTCTCTCTGTCCAGCGCTCCTTCTGTTACCAGAGTGTAGAAATTTTCTACAGTAAGTTTTAGAAGGAAGGGGAGATGGTCTTGGATGGAGCACATCATTTTGCCATTGTCTCCGGAGTCTGGATCTGAAATTCCGAAAATAGCGACCACAGTGTCAGGGGTGTTTTCTGGGACATCGCTGATGAGTAATGACATGGTCAGTTCGGGGGCGTTGTCGTTTACATCCAGCACTTCTATGGCTACGGTGCATTTTCCTGAAAGACCCCCACCGTCTGAGGCCTCAATTTCCATACGGTAAGATTGAATTTCCTCAAAATCCAACATTTTTATTAATCGAATTTCTCCCGTGACGGCGTTTATTTCAAAGGCCTGAACGACTTGATTTAATGATTGGAAAAATGAGTAGGAGAGCTCTCCGTAGATCCCAGCATCTAAATCTCTAGCGAAGACGGTGATGACAAGGGAGCCTATGGGGCTGTTCTCTGGGACCTGCACCTCGTAGAGCAGCTGAGCAAATTCAGGGGCATTGTCATTTATGTCCAGGACTATGATGAGAACCTGGGAAGTCCCAGTCCTGGGCGGTGACCCGCCATCCAGCGCCGTGAGGGTTAACCTGAGCTCCGGCTGCTCCTCACGGTCCAGCGCTTTGTCCAGCACCAGCTCCGGGTATTTCCTGCCGTCGCTGTGATTCCGAGTGAAAAGGTGGAAATGGGAGTTGGTGCTAATTGTGTAGTTCTGAACTGTGTTGCTGCCTACGTCTAAATCTTCAGCTAGTTTCAAAGGAAATGCAGTCCCCGGATGGCTGCTTTCCGGGATTTTCAGGAGGATTTCATTTTCCGAGAATTCTGGGGCATGGTCATTTACATCTAGGAGCTGTAGTTCACCTTGAATAAACTGCACCGGATTTTTCAGTAACACCTGGAAATGCAGTATGCATGGATCTGTGTCACCACACAACTCTTCCCGGTCCAATTTTTTTTCTTGGAGCAAATTTCCACTCTTCTGCTCGAGCTGCAAATGCTGTTTATTCCCTTTGGAAAGAATCTGGGCGCCCCGCGCGGCCAGCTCCCCTATGCCCAGCCCCAGATCTTTTGCTATGTTGGCCACAAAAGAGCCGCTGTCCCTCTCTTCTAGAACAGAATACTTAATGGTCGCACCGCCCGCCTCCCACAATAGTAATAGGATAATAATGGCGGTCACTCGCCTTTTCTGTGGCGCTTTTGGTAGCGGCGTCTCCATCATTCCTCAGGGTCCAACAGATGCGGTATTTAATCCCAAAATAATTGCTTTGCAGCCGACTCTGCTATCTTGGTTCAATAATCTTGAGTTAATTCTTCTTAACATTGACTGACATGGGGATAGCTGTCTCTCTGAAACCCTCTATCCCCAATAGTGTAAAACGTTTCCTTTTCCAGCTGCCAGAAACCGCTCAGCTTTTATGGAGTCTGCAGAGACAGTTTTTCACTCTCTTAGCCTGCAGCGCCACCAAGCGTCCTGCTTTACAACTTCAGGTATTTTTCGTTTCAAAGCATAATGTAATAGCTAAAACGCATGGAAAGCCTTCTGTGTCATAGAGTGTTATGAACACCCTCCCCACCCCATGCCCCTCCTATTCTCCACTCTTGTTCAGGTAGCTAACGATAGTTGTGAGAGCAGAAGTATTACCTGTACATCTATATCTATAGTCATCTTCCTTATAAAAGTACAAGTTCAGCACACAAAACTCTGCTCAAGACAAATTCATTTATTTATTTAACCAGTATTTCTCTGTGTAGGCATTTTTCTATCTTCTGGAGATAAAACAGTAAATTAAACACAAAAGTTCTTGCTCTTGGGAGCTTATATTCAATTACAAAAATACTAATTTGTTCTATTGTGTTGAAAGAAGTTATGAATTTTTAAATCCAGTTTCTGCTCCCAAATGGCAATGTGCCTGTAACTTCTGAAAAAAAGTAAAATGTGATTTCTTGTCAGTCTCTGGGCTACATAGCCTTTGGTAATGTTTTTCCTTCATAAATTCACTGTGTGCAATGCCCAGTAAAGTTGAGAAGAAACAGTTGTTTGTTTTATTAGAAATCAATATAAGTTAGAATTCAGGAGATGTCTTCCACAGACATGAAGGATGCAATAAAGTCAATGAAGTCAAAGATATACTTTCTAGGGAAGGGTTTTGACCTGTCAGCATTGGACAGGGGCCTGTCCCAGTGTACATCCTCTGGAACTATGGAGATGGGGTTATTGAAAAACAGCAGTGCACCAACTAAAGCCATGTGGCTGGAGTGGAAGCAGCAGTTTCCCCTAAAGAAGAATGCTGTTCTACGGAGGAGAGGGTAAGTATCTGGGAATGCAAAACATTGAGTGTTCCCTATACTCATTGAACCAACTGGTAATCGTCCATGACAAAAGAGCCTTGACAATTCACTTATTTGGACATAAAACACAGCCAAATATAATTTAGTTAAGCCCAGTTCCATTTTAATTAAGGATAAAAATAAAATATTCACTTAATAATCACTTTACTATAAATTGCCTGACTTTGATGGGAAGCTGAAAACAGGGATTTTTCATAAACTACTACAAATATAAGCAACATAAATAAGACCAAATACGGGTTAAATTGTGAAAGTAAGTGATTTTATGGTTAATAAAGATAAATGATGAGTACACAGCACTAGAAGGGAAAATCTGACATTACCTAATAACCTGCCACTAATAACTTACTTGGGTCTTGGCAGGTATCACACATATAGAAGCTTGAGAAATTAGGAGGAGGAGTTTGAAAAATATAATTTGGATTTTACTAAACAATACCTTTGAAGTTTCAAATTGTTAGACAAAGACAAGGAGATAAAATGTACTCTCAAGCATTTTATATTCTGTAATAGAGTTTAGGGTGAGTGGCGGGTGTTTTCTGTTTAGAAGGAAAGTAAAAGTGTTATTAATAATTTCACTTATTGGCAAGGGTACTATATTGTAGAGAGAATGTCAGCATTTCTGTATTCCTTGAAAAATGTTTTTAAATGCACTATTGGAATGTCAATAACATTCAGGAAATATTTATTAAGCATTTATAATAGGCTTGGTATTATTAAAAAGACCATCATATTCTTACATGAAGCTCACAAACTCTAATTTAATGCATTGACACTTTCATTAGGTCTATATTTATAGAAAATATGTATTGACTATTATGGTATATTGAAAAGCACAGTAAATATGAATGGCTAAGTTAGCATTTAGCCATCTTTAGTGTTTATCTTTAGTTTTCAAACTGTAGGAGTTCAAAATTAGACTTATATTGGCAGATTAAATGATATCAAACCCTTGCATTTAAAAATTTTATAGCATATAGTTATGACATAGCAATAGCGATGACAATTCTCACCACTAGTTGGAAATACGATTTTACTTAAGGACCTTGGAATATAATTTTTGTAAGGAATAGATGATTGAATTTCAAAAATTTTAAATTATGCAAATAAAATTTTACTTTTTATTCAGATTGTCAAATATAGTTGAGTGAGAGTAATAAAAAAACTACTAAGTATAATATAGGGAAAATACTGTGTATACCCAGTATCTGGTTTTTTTTTTTAATTTCACCCTAAGGAACAGTAGTAAAATAATCAAGAAACGGACCATAAATAACATGCATTAATAACATGTAACTTTAAGTTAAAAGAGATTTCCAAACTTATTAAGTAGGGTTTAATAGAATAATCCAATACTTAACTGAATTGGAAACTATTCCGAAATGTCGGGTTTTCCTCCATTTCCCTCCCACTGTCCTGGGGAGGGAAGTTGGGGAGAATCGGCCTGAGGAACTTGAACTCGCTGGTCCCAGAGCCTCCCCTCAGACACACCTCATACTGGTAGCTCTGGGACACGGTCCCAGTACCGCCGACGTCCACCAGGTGGCCCGGAAAGTGGCCCTCAGGCACCGAGCAGCGACCCAGCGAGGCGGCCCTGCTCCTCCCGCACAGCCGCACCGCGATGAACGCGAGCACCGAGAAGAGGAAGAGCGACGACACCGCGGCCAGGGCGATGACCAAGTAGACGGTGAGCGGGTCGGCCTGCGCCTGCTCGGCCGCCGCCTCCGGCAGCGGCAGGTAGGGCTGCGAGAAGCCGTCCACCAGCAGCACGTGCAGCGTGACGCTGGCCGAGCGCGGCGGCTCGCCGTTGTCCTTGACCAGCACCAGCAGCCTGTGCTTGGGCGCGTCGCGCTCGCTCGGCGGCCTGGCCGTGCGCACCTCGCCGTTGTGCGCCCACACGCCGAACAGCCCGGGCTCCGTGGCCTTGAGCAGCTGGTACGACAGCCAGGCGTTCTGGCCCGAGTCGCCGTCCACCGCCACCACCTTGCTCACCAGGTAGCCCGCCTCGGCCGCCCTGGGCACCAGCTCGGTGCAGGGCGCCGAGCCGTTCTGCAGCGGGTAGAGCACGAAGGGCGAGTTGTCGTTGTCGTCCAGCACCAGCACGCGCACCAGCGCCTGGCTGCTCAGCGCCGGCGAGCCTCGGTCTGTGGCGCCCACGCCGAACTCGAAGGCCTGCAGGGCCTCGTAGTCCAGGGACCGCAGGGCGAACAGGTGCCCGTTGTCCGCGTTGATGGACACGAGGGAGGCGAGGGGCAGGTGCGGGTCGTGGGGCGGCAGCAGCGAGTAGGTGACCTGGGCGTTGGCGCCTGCGTCTGCGTCTGTGGCGCTGACGCTGCCGATGTGCAGGGCGGGGCTGTTGTTCTCGCGGACCCGCAGGGTGTAGGAGGTTTGGGTGAAGGCGGGGGCGTTGTCATTGACGTCGGAGACCAGCACGGTTATGCTGTGCTGCGTTTTCAGCCTGGGGGATCCCATGTCGGTGACGGTGATGGTGATGTTGTACTCAGCCCGGCTCTCTCTGTCCAGTGCTCCTTCTGTTACCAGGGTGTAAAAATTCTCTACCGACGGTCTTAGGAGAAAGGGGAGATTGTCATCTATAGAACAAATAACCTGTTGGTTACGTCCAGAATCTGCATCTGACACACTGAAAACTGCCACTGTGATCTGTGGCAAGTTTTCAGGAATGGGGCTGATGAGTGACGACACGGTCAATTCAGGGGCATTGTCATTCACATCCAGGACCTTGATGACTAAAGAGCATTTTCCTGATAGTCCCCCGCCATCTGTGGCCTCAATATCCACGTGATAAGACTGAAATTCCTCAAAATCCAACGTCTTTCTCAGTCTAATTTCTCCTGTAACTGCGTTTATTTCGAAGGGTTGGTTAACGTCATCGACTTGAAATAGGGCATAAGATACCTCCCCAAAGGACCCTGCGTCTAAATCTCTCGCTGACACGGTGATAACCAGCGAGCCCAGGGAGTTATTTTCCGGGATTTGCACCTCATAGAGCTCCTGAGCAAACTCAGGGGCGTTATCATTGATATCCAAGACTAGGATCTGAATCTCTGTGGTCCCAGACCGGGGCGGAGACCCGCCATCCAGCGCTGTGAGGGTTAGCCTGAGCTCGGGCTGCTCCTCGCGGTCCAAAGCTTTGTCCAGCACCAGTTCCGGGAACCTCCTGCCATCGCTGCGATTGCTAGTGAGAACGTGGAAGTGAGGATTGGAGCTGATCATGTAGCTCTGAAGGCTGTTGCTACCAGCGTCTAAATCCTGTGCCATTTTCAAAGGAAATATCTTTCCTGGCGTAGTAATTTCTGATATTTTTAGTAGCATTTCTCTGGCGGGGAACTCGGGGGCGTGGTCATTTATATCTCTGACTCGCAAGACAGCCTGAAAAAACTGCAAGGGATTTTCCAGTAACACTTGGAAAGGTAGCGCGCACGGCTCAGTGGAACCGCACAGCTCCTCTCGGTCCAGTTTCTCATTTAGCAGCAAATCATAGGTCTGTGGATCAAGCTGCAAATACTGTTTGTTTCCCTTGAAAACAACCCGGGCGCCCCGCGCGGCCAGCTCTCCCATCCTGAGTCCCAGGTCCTTTGTCAAGTTGGCTACAAACGTGCCACTTTCTGACTCCTCCAGTACAGAATAGTGAATCGATTCTGAACCCGCCTCCCACAAAAGCATCAATATAATGAAGATGGCCACTTGCCTTTTCTTGCGATGTACTTTTGTTTGCGCCATCTCTATTGTTATGTCTGATTCCAGGGGAAGAATCCTTTTCCACCCCCAATCACCACGTCCACCGTCGACCCTCCGAAATGTCTTTGCTATAGAATTTCGAATTCGTTCTTACAATTTGTCTGGCGACGACTGCCTTCCTGAGCACTTCTATCTCAGCTTTAGCTCTAAATGTGTTCTGTATTTTTTCTCAGTGGAGTCCACCGATTCTGCAGCGCTATTATTCACTCTCTTAGCCTGCACTGCCACCACGCGTTCAAATTAAGAACTTCATGAGGTGCATGCAGATCAACACCATTTCCAAAATCTGAGTGGACTTTTAGGTCGACTCAATGTTTCTCAAACTGTAGTATGTGAACCACATGTATAAATAATTACCTGGGAGTCTTGGGGT